AATACATGCAAAGAAACTAAAAATGGAGCATTCCTTGCATGCACATACATACTAGAGAACCCGCTGCTCAGGAATGTATCTGATCACCAGAGTAATGCAGAATGAACATGCCGCCCAGCTGATAAGGAAAGTCACATTTCTGGCCTCAAAGTCCAGCGAATTCTATGTTCAGAGGAGGCATGGCTTCAATAAAACTACCTCATCCCTGTTCACACCTATCAGAGTGCACACAAGTGTGAACAGATCCTCGATGTGACCGAGCCGTCTATTCACTCGCCTGTGATCTAACAAAGTGTTCAATTAAATGCTAAGACCACATTTTATATCAGGCTTTATGCTGCACTCATTAAGGGTGTAACATGAAAACCAGTCGCATACACCATCCCTAAAAACCAACCCTCCCCTTCCCCGAATCCTGGGTTGCATGTTCCAAGGAAATGCTGCGATTTGCATTTTTTGCTGTTTGTTGCTCCACAAGCGAAGCCGTGTCGTCCATTCACTGGGATTCATCCACCGCAGTAGAGGGACTGCGCGGCGGCACGCCGGTGATGTTTCCCCTTCCTCACCTGCTTGTAGACCAGCCGCATTTGCTCTCCAACCATGCAGCTGTGTCATCCTTTTCCCGAGATCGCTCCATCGCATCAAAGGGACTGTACGGAGCTATGCCGCTGATCTTTCCCCTTCATCTGCATTCAGCCACATTTACTCTCCACCCACGCAGCTGTGTCACCCTCTTCCTCGGATTGCATTAAAGGGACTGTACAGAGCTATGCCGATGATCTCCCCCCCTTCCTCACCTGCTTGTAGTTCAGCCACATTTGCTCTCCACACACGCAGCTGTGTCATCCTTTCCCTGGGATCGCTCCATCACATTATAGGGAATGTACAGAGCTACGCCGGAGCTCTCCCCCCTTCCTCACCTGCTTGGAGTCCAGTCGCATTTGCTCTCTACCCACGCATCTGTCATTCTCACTGGGATCTCACTGCTGCAGAAGGCCCGC